ATTCCATTTTAATTTTGCTATGGTTTTGTTCACACAGACACACATATAATTCCATCATTGCTAATTTTTGTACGGTGTTTGCTTTCCCTCTCAGGCGTTGTCTCCGTAAATTTCCCATCACCAGTTCACCTGTGCAAGCGCCGTAGTCTCTGCTTCTCCCTTCCCTGGTTTATTGTTTTCTTCCGATTTGGTTCTGCTCTAGTGTTTTCAAGCATTTCGCATTTCTAGAGCGGCGTCTGCACATGCGCCAGAGGGGCTGTCCGGCAGCCTGAGCAGTGAGCAGGGCTGACTCTGACCCGCCTGTGGGGAGGAGGCCCTGGAGCCCCAGAATCAGCCCAGGGCTGGTCCCCCGGGGCAGCTCAGGCCTTGCCCTGCCTCCTCGCGGGTCCCTGACTCCCTTCTCCATCCCACCCCCACCCCCAGCTTTGGGAAATCGAGAGGGATGCTCGGTTCTGGTAAAGGCCCCAGAGCCACCTGGCCCCCTCGACTGTCCTCTCTATGATCCTCAGTGAGTGTTTGGGTCACACAAACCCTGCCAGCACAGGAATGACCCCAGCTTTCCCATTTCCTGGTCAGTCACAGCGCCGCCCTCTCTGCATCACCAGGGGACACAGGGACTCTGACCCTCAGCCAGAGCCCGGTCACCACACAGACCCTCCCTCACAGTGTTCCCCTCTCTGCCCCTTCCTGGCACTGTCCTCTCTGCCCCGCCACCCCCCCCCCTTTTCACCTCCACCCATGAAGTCCCCATTTCAGAACTCTATTCTCTTTTGCAGGAGTCTCCCCTCATCCAGGGATGGAGAATTTAGTGTTGATGCCAGGAGGAGCTGCTTTCATCCCTGAAATCAGACACAGAGACAATTTACAGGAATTCGGGATCACATGCGTCCATCCCAAGAGACTGAGGGAACCTATGTATTTGGGGATTTGCCCAGAACGTAGGAACCAATTGTTATGTCCCAGAGATCTGGTTATGTCCTTAGTTCAAAGGCTAAAGTCATTGGCAAGAAACTGACACTGAGCCTGTCACTGGACTGGGCGCCTCTGTGTGCAGAATCCCGTCCTGTAGTTTGGAGCCCAGGGCGCCCTGGGGGCCTGGCTGAGCAGGAGAAAGGACAGCTCTGGGCGCCTGCGCTCAGCCCTGTGGCCACACGGGGGCGCTGCCGCGCTGCTCTGTTTCTTGCTGAGCCGCCAGGATTGGGGGGGTCTGAGTGGGCAGAGTGGGTTGTCCTGGGGACAGGATCCTGGAGGCTGAGATGCTCTGTGGGGAATCTGAGAACAGGAGAGGAGGAGACTTTGAGCCGTGACCTGTGTGCTAGGTTTACCATCTTTCTCGGCTCTCCAGTTCTTTGATAGCAAATCTGAGGAAACTAAAATATAATTTTTGCCTCCACCACCAATAATGAGGGCAGTTTTTTAAATACCAGTTCATAATTGCTGTTACAGAAATGTGGAAAAGTAGTGGGTTTCTTGTAATCCCCTACCATTTTCATTTTGTTAACAGCTCTATGACTAAAGTGTATTTATAGCTAACAGATCAGTATTGATGCAATTGCTTAACTCCACAAGCAAATTTTATTTAATTAGTTTTTGCTAATGTGCTTTTTATGTTCCAGGATCCCACCCAGTGCGCCCTATTCAGTTCCAGCCAGGTCTCCTTAAGGCGCCTCTGGCTGACACTTTCTCAGACTTTTCTTGTTTTTGTGACACTGACTGTCAAGAGCACTCATTACGCAGGAATAATATCCCTCGAGGTCAGGACTGTTATTTCTCTCTCTGATAAGTACACAATGGAATCCAAGAGCTGTGAGAAACGTCAAATCTTGAATTTGCAATCACGTGGGCAGATGTGGAGGGCATTGTGCTCACTGAAATAAGCAGAGAAGAAAACCAAATCCTGAGTGGTTTCACTCATGTGTGGAATGTGACGAACCAATCAAGGACACCTGAAAATCAACAAAAGCAAAGTCAGGGAACCTGGCTGCCTGGTTGAGACTGTAAGAGGGGAGCAAGGGTCCCGTGGACTGTGGTGGAGGACAGTGGGGCCCCCGCATTATGTGGAGGGGTGACGTATCTCTGCAGAGGTGTGACCCTGTGCTTTGCACACACACACAGTGTGGAAACTGATGTCGCCTAAGTGGAAATAATGCAGCAATGAGGAAAAAGGAAAATGAGATATAGTAACTAGCCTCCTCCGTCCACCACTGACCTTGGGACTTGCCTTGGCCTCCTCAATGCCACGTGGGTTGAGGGGCTGGTTTCCCACAAGGCCTGATGCAGGATGGTCAGGCACTTGGGGAAGCTCAGGCCCCCCTGAGTAGAGACACTGCAGAGAGGGAGGTCTGAGGGGAGCCAGGGACAGAGGGTCAGATATACCCCAGTGTGAGGGAGGGTCTGGTTCCCAGAGAGGGGTGTGTGAGTGATAGGAGAGAAGGACACACAACGCAGCAGTGGGGTCAATCATACACCAAGCTCCAGCATAAGTGAATTCCAACCCCACAGCGTGAGCAGTGGCAGGTCAACACCGGTCAGTGCAGGTCAGAGAAGAGAAGCAATGTCAGACCGGACTGAGAAAGCAGAACTGGAGGAGAGGGGGGTGGAACTGACCTCGTGGTTAGGATGTAGTGATCTGTGTAGGGCCCCCTTGAGCCCCTGCTGGGGTATGGTGGTCCCTGCCAGCTCTCTCCCATAGCTCCAACGTTCACTTCAAGCTCATCTCCTTTGGGGTCTTTATAGAAAACCCGCAGGCCTCAGAGTCAGGGAGCAACCCCCAGACACCTGCTTTGTCTCCCAGGTGTCACTTCCTCCGTGGGCTGCAGCCACTTCTTCTCTAGAGCAGAGCTGGGGGGGTCCCACAGGCTGGGAGGGGGCAGCCTATGCCCTGCTGGCCTGGGCCACGGTCAGGAGGAGCCCAGGTCACCCCAGTCACTGAGCTGAGACTTTGTCTAAGGCCCAGGAAGGAGGGAGACATGGAGTAGGGCCCCCCTCAGTTCCTCAGTTCCAGGGGAGGGTGCGAGTTCAGAGTGGTGGAAATTATTGTTTCTTTCTCATTCTGGGGTCCCCCTGTCTCCCAGGTCACCCTCCATGTGCAGAGGGGAGAGGGTCTCAGACCCCTCCCCACTGCAGTGTTCAGGATGAGACTCCCGTGTTCATGGCCACACTGGGGAGAGTACAGAAAGATCCGTCTATTGCGATATGAGCACCAGGAGTGGCGGTCAGTTGTTACTCTAGAAGGTCTTTTATTTGGTTGTTGCTGTAATGTCACTGCACAGTCACAAACATCAGGACAGGGAGAAAGAGTTGCCCTGAGTCTCAGGCGCTTTCTTTGCTCTGTGCCGCAGCTTTTCTGTGTCCTGGCCTTGATCAGTTTGTGCCTTCGCCCAGAATGTGGACAGGAAACATCCAGCTACTGACCTCTCAGGGCAAAGTTCTGGTCTGAGGATCTGTGATGCTGAAACAGCGTGTGCAGAGACAGCAGTGGGAGTTAGGCTGTGAGCAGCTGAAACACTGAGGCTTCTCCTGAGTCTCTTCCTGATTTCCCGGTAGGGCTGGGGCCGCATGGCCACTCACCCCCACACCTTTGCTTCCCCCACCCAGGCTCCCCAACACCTAAAGAAGTGGCTCTGAAGCCTTAGTGCAGACATCTAGGCCGACTGTTGAACATGCAGATTCCTGGATGGTCCCTTAGAGAAGCGGGTGCAGCGCCTCTGGGGCCGGTTCTGAGCATGTCCTTTCTGAGATGAGCCCCAGTGTTGGGGGGTCACACACTAGGAATCCTGGCCCTAGAGCAGAGCTTCTGACATTACAGCAGGTAGCATCTGAGAGGGGTCCTGTGCCATGCAGACCTGATCCTGTCACTCTGGGCATGGCTGCAATCCCTTCTCAAGCATGAAATGTGTATCAAAAGGATTAAGTTTTAGTCTGGGTTATTAACTTTATCAAGGCTTTGTCATATGATGTGCCCTGCACCATCCAGTGTCCAGTGCCCAGCGGTCCGTCCATGAGAGGGGATCCCGGGGCCTGAGTCTTAGTCCTTAAGCCAGTGTGTGCTAGGGCCCAGCCCTGCTCCCCGGCCTGCACGGTCTCAGCCTCGTGGGCTGTGGGCAGGTTCCCTGAGGCCAGGGGTTGGGGCACTCCTGGACCCCATGAGCTGTCCCATCTGCACCAGTTTCACTATCGGGAGCACGTCTGTCCAGGCCGAGGGGACACGGTCTGGGTGGGGAACACAGAGCGCCTTCTGCTGCCCTCCCTGCCGCTGGGAGGCCCCGGTCCTGTCCTCGGGCACCTGCCATGGCCACTTCAGTGGGGCTTCCTTGTACTTTTCCTCTCTCAGGTTTTGACTCTCTGATGAGCCCTGTGGGGTGAGAGTCACATCTTTTCCTCTGGCATGATATGGGTATTCATCTGGAGCTGTTGACCCCAATTCAGGCACATCTCCAAGGGCCTGTGCTCCTCATGGGGCAAGGGGCCTCATTCACACAGTCAGGACCCAGAGTCACAGGGTTCTCACTATAGATGCCAACACAGCAGCTATGGGATTGATGAAGGAGCTTGACTCCTTGAGGATAAGGACAGATTGGCTAGTCAACCACATGTGACTAGCATCATGTGAGACCACAAAGTAGTTGAGCCATGAAGTCCTAAATGTGTCCCCTAGTCTGGGCCACAGGGAAGTTTCCACACCTGTGCCTGAAGACCCAGGGCAGGAACAGGAAATATGAAGAAAGGACATGAGGGGGTTCTGGACCAATTGTTTTTTGAGATCTGCCCTCAAAAGGCACCTTCCCTCTGTCACTTGCTGGGATTGAGGCCCATCAGCAGAGTTATCAAGGTGAACAAGTAGTGATTCATTTTTATAAGTGGGTTACAAAAGAGGGAGTATTAGCAATCAGCACCTGACTAGGCAATTAGTGTGGAAAATACTTCCCATTAATCAGGCAGCGTACATTCTCCCTGGGACTAGAAGCCCCCGTGGACAGGATCTCCCACTCCCTCCCTACCTGAGCGCTTCTTCCTCCAAATCACAGCTGCAGCCACCACAGCCTCAGTGAGCACAGCTCCAAGGAGAACCAGGCCAGCAATGAGGCCCCCCGGTGGGGGTAGAGGACCGAAGAGGGGGCATGGTGGGAATGGAGGGCTGAGGAGGAGGGTCTGGAAGGGAAGGGGAGGGGACACCCTGAGCTCCAGGCCTATTCTCACCCTCGGAGGGGTCCAGAAGGGCCTGCGATTTCCCTGAGAACAGCTTCAGTGCCCACATCCCCTCCTCACCCCATCTCACGACTCGGGGCTCCGGCAGCCCCTCATACTGTACATGGCACATGTATCCCTGCTCCTCTCCAGAAGGCACCACCACAGCTGCCCACTTCTGGAAGGTTCCATCTCCTCCAGGCCTGGTGTCCACCAGCTCTGTGTCCTGGGTCAGGTTCTCCCCATCTCGCTGCCAGGTCAGGGTGATCTCCGCAGGGTAGAAACCCAGGGCACAGCACCTCAGGGTGACCTCATGCTCAGAGATGGGTTGGTGGGTCACGTTTGTCTTTGGCATGTCTGAGGAGAAGGGTCAGACCATTCACTATAGGTTCTTATTTTAAGATTTATTTATTTATGCAGATAAGAATTGGGGTACAGGCCATAAGTACGGGGCGGGGGAGAAGATTCATTAGATACAAAGTGGGGAGCAGAACAGGCAGGTCAATGAAATACACTGCTGCGGAGAGCAGCAGGCGAGTCAGCAGCTATCTGCCAGGACATGCGTTCACCTCCCTGGCCAGGGATGGACTAGAGCTGCAGTGGCAGTGGAAGCTTCCTAGTGCTGCCCATTAACCCTTTGCACCACCAGGGAGGCCCCTATGTTGGTTTTTTCCATCGCAGAGACTAAAGCAGCCTTATGTGACCCCCTCAGGATGGACAGCGCAATGGGCTGGGAAGAGGAAGCACAAAACCTATAAACTAGCCTGATCTGGGGGGTCGGGGATAATCTTAGCATGTCCTAGAGTCAGGGTAAGAGCTCAGAAAAGGAAGATGCAGGTCTCCAAGGAGGAAAACACAGCCTTATGCTCCTGACCTGGGGACTCATAAAAGCAGGAGTCAAATCTGAAAAATGTTAGTCAGACCAAAACCAACATATAGTGAGAAACTGAAGGTTCCCAAGATGGCTGCCGGGACAAAGGGGTCCTGTGAAGGGCAATTTCAGGGGGGCCTCGCACCATTTTAGGAGGCTGAACTCCTTCACTGACCTTCAGGAAAAGTAGGGTGCTCTGAGGGAGTCTCTCTAGCACAGAACAGAAACCCAGGCGGTCTCCTCCCTCTCTGACCAGGAGGTCTGTGTCCTGACAGTTACTCCATGTCCCCTGGGGCGTCAGCCTGAGGGAGATCTGAACCCTTGAAGCCCGCAGGCCCCTCTCACCTGTGCGCTGCAGGGTCTCCCTCCCGGTCTCCAGGGCACTGCCCAGCCAGTCCACGCAGTCACTCTCCAGGTAGTTCCTGATGTGCTCAGTGCGTCCATCCTTCTCCCACTGGCGCTGGGTGATCTGGGCCACCAGGTCCGCGGGGGTCCAGGAGTGCAGGTTCGGGTTCAGGGTGATGTGATTGGCACCGTTGTAGGCGAACTGACTGTACCTGTGGAGGAGGCACAGGTTGGGCCCCACCTGGCAGCCAGACATCTCTTGGAGGGTGTGAGACCCTGTCCCTGCCTCATCAGTCCTGGGGTCAACCTGCCCTGCTCTCCCGCCTGGAATAAACCAACACTGACTCTGAAACCACAGGGCACAGAAGCCCGTGGGCTCCTTCAGGATGGAGGGTTGGGGCGGCTGACTAGCCTGGGGGTGTCACGCACACTTAGAGTCTGGGGTTCACCCCCCTTCCTCCTGCACCCCTACACATCTGTGGGGAGGGGGATCACTCCTGGGTGCTCACCAGCCTGGCTTTGGTTGTAGTAGACGTGCAGACATTGCAGTTTCTCTCGGAAAGCCTGTGCGGCGTGCCTCAGGGCCTGAGTCTGGTTGTCCCAGGGCCTGAGTCTGGTTGTCCCAGAACTCAGGCCCCAACTGCCCCGCCCAGGGTGCCCGCGGCTCCATCCTCTGACCTTGAGAGTAGCTATCAAACCACCCGAACTGCGTGTGGTCCACATAACTGATGACTGTGAAGCGGGGCTCCCCGAGGCCGGGCCGGGACATGGTGGTGTAGAAATACCTCAGGGAGTGGGGGCCTGGGGGTGGGAGGGGTGAGACTGGACTGACCCTATTTCCAGTGCAGCACCCCTCGGGACTGGGGAAAATGGGGCGCACCAAAAGGGTTGAGACTCATAAGAGGAGGCAGGAAGCTGGGAGGGACCCAAAGGGGCCAGGACAGAACGGGACACACGGGGACAATAGGGCTGGCGATGGCAGAAAGGAGTGTTTACCAGGTCCTGTGCTGTGCTGCAGCCACAGGGGCCCCCTCACTCCTCCATCCTGTGCTGTGGGTTCACTATGGACCTCGCACTCACCTGCCCTGGCCCCTGAGAGCAGCAGCAGGATGATGGATGCAAACATGCCCTCCCTGGGCTCTCCAGTCCCCGGTGAATCCTAGTCCAGGAGGCGAATGGGTGGGGACTGTACAGAGCCCCCAGATGCTCACTGGCTTGTCTGGAAACCCCCAGGCAATGGGGACTGAGAGATGGGGTGAGTCACCAGTATCTAGGAAGGAGGACCCCACACAGTTTGTGAGGGAACAAGTAAAACCGGGGTGAGAAACACTGGGGGAAGAGCCTGAGGCCAGGCGTCCCCACAGTGACCTTCCCCTGTCCAGACACAACCTTGGGCCCCAAGCCCAGAGCGCCACACCCCGGACCTGGGGGATACTGTGCCCCTCCTTTTCTGCACCCAGACCTCTGTCCAGGGCCTGGGGTTGGGTCACTGATTCGTGCACATTTTTGTTTCAGGATCTCTGCACACATGGTTTTACAAGGTCAAAGACCCTGTAGGTGAGGGGAAGCCTCAAGTTCTCTGCCCTCCCCCATTAGCACCTGTGAGCCACACCTGTGGTCTTACACTCGGCCTGATGGAGGCACTTGGGCTGTGGTGCTGACGGGCCTGTGTGGGTGCCCCTGAGCCAGCGACTGAGCATATAAGGAAGGGGGCCCAGGACCCCTTTGCTGGGGTGAGAAGCAAAGAAGAGACCAAGAAGAGGCCAGAGAGCCCAGGCAGAGCAAACATTCCCAGGGGTGGAGGCCTGCCAGCCTCCTGTGCCCCATGTGCCCTGAATGCCCTGCACCTGGTCTCGTCACTGCAGATGGGGTGAAAGATATTAAAGGCTGAAAAAGCCAGCCAGGTCCCAGGACTGTCCTTACTCCTCTGCCCAGTCATAGAGAACCCGCCAGTGTCTGCTGGCACTACAGGCCCCCAGGGATAAATTTATGCAGATGTAACTATCAATTTCTACTTTGCAAGGAATAAAATCATTTTAAAGAATGTTTTATTTCAATTGGAATATTAATAATCCAATGCATATGAACTGTTTTAAAGAAAAACAATGTTCTGAACATAATGGTAGTGAGAAAGTGGACCTTGCAGTTTATATTTGCAGGTGTCCTTTCTATCTCATTACAGTTGGATTGTCCTGTTTCCTTCCACATGTAGTCTGCCCTGTGGTCGCTCAGTGCAGGGTGACTGGGAGTTGTCTGCCCTCC